CTCATCAGTTCCGTTTTGATTAGTTTCACCATTAGTTTGCAACAAATGCTTGTCAGATTAACTGCTTTAAAGCTATTAGCAACGTTCTCTCTTGTCCTTTATAAGTAGGGGTTATGTTGGCCAGCTTCCACTCAGTAGGCAGAGCCCCTTCTCCATCGAACATTCGAAGCGCATGGAAAGTGGGGAAACCGGTTGTTCTGCGGGCTCATTCAGAAGTTTCGCTGATAACCCATCCGGACCAGGCGATTTAGTGGACTGTGGTTGTCTCAGGGCTTTTCTTACTGTGTCTTTTGCGAACGATAGCGTGATAATTGTATGTGCCGGTGGGACAATATATCGCTGTACATGCTCATTAAAAGGAGGCTCCTCGGTATTCACAGACATAAAGAAATTAGACAAGATGTTCACCTTAACTGAGTTATCGGTAAACTTGATCCCCTGGTTACCTTTCAGAGAAGGAATGGGATCTCAATTGCGCTTTGCCTTATTCACGTAGGAAAAGAATATTTTTGGGTTGTTAGCTATTCCCTTGACTAGTTCTGTCTTAAAGGCCACTCGTTCTTTTCGTAGTAGTTTTCGACATATATTTCGCAGTTCCTTAAATTCGGAGAAGTGTTCAGGCTGTTGATATCTGTCATAAGTTTTCTTTAGTCTTCTTTTCTTCTTGAGGTTCTTTCTCATGATCGGTGTCGCCCATTCCGGCCAGGAGATGCACATGCTTTTCTTAAGCGGGCAACGGTTCGCTACTTATTGCTGAGTTAAGTTCCTAAAGAAGCACCAGGCATCGCTGGAGTCGGGTACGTATGCAGGGCTCCAGTCAGTCATGTTAAGTAGTCCTTTCATTTTAGTATAATCTCTTTTCCATACATTCCTCTCGCTTATTGCACCAGCAACGGGAGCCGCGTGTCCATTGTGGCATGCTGGAGAAGAAATTCGTCGCTAACCAAATGAAGTAGTTTCTGCTCGAATGAGTTCTCTGATCACGAGCTGTGCATCAATTCCCAATCAATGTTTGGAGGGTTAAAATCTCAGAGCATTAGGACATTTGTGCTACGGCAGATTTTTTGTACCTCAGTGATGAGTGCGTGGTCCGCGTCTGTCCTTTGTCCTGGGGGTCTTTATACCAGAGCAGTATGGAGGTCAGGTTGGCTTGGTACTCTCAGTTTATAACTAATTATTTCACAACTAACTATTTTACCTTTAACTTATAAGAATAACCTATTTTTGCATTTTCAGTAACCCGACCTTCCCTTTTTCCCTTAACCTCCGCCAACTGGCAGCAGATTCCTGAGCGACAGGTGTTTATGTTGATGGATTTGATTCCATTTAGTACAAACAAATATAAGTTTCTTTAATTTAATATTTCTAATGGCTTTCAACACAATTAAATATTTACGCTCACCAAACAAGAAATATAGGTTTTATCACGAATTACGTTAGACAGTTGGCTGGGGGAATAGATATTTAGGCCCTACAAGATAATTTTGCCTAAAATACATATCGACGGACACTTACAATGCTTTAGTAATCACATTTAATTTTTTCTGCGGTGAGATTTTCTTTGACCGAAATGAGAAATCATTCCGCAGACGCCCGCTGTACATCAGAAATGTCATGGTGTTGGCCATAGGGATACCAATATTACGGCAACTAAGGTGATTACATCTACATCCATGAAACAAATTAACAGAGACATAGCATATTGACATACGGTGCAATAGGTATGTCTAGTGGCGAATCAAAACAAATTTCGTCTATACTTGTTAAGCTATGCGACCCATTCAGTTCAATTTTACAGCAATAAAATAACAATTCTCTGTTTGTTTTTATGTGCTATATACGTTACCGCAGTTCTAATTTGAGTGGCTGTGTGACTCTCTTTCTAATGAAGTTAACACAATCGGTTATCAAATCCTTTAAGCCCGTCAAATATTTTAAAGAAAATCTTGACAAAATAAATTCACTCAGTTATACTGATAGTGGTGAATTTATTATCTCCAGTAGCGACGATGAGCAGATGATAATATATGATTGTACATCCGGCACGTAAGTCATTTTGTATGCATCATATTCGTTTTTATCTTATTTGCTGCTTTTTATTTTTCTTTGGAGTGTTTACGTCTCAGAGATCCTCAGAAGGTATCCTTTAATATACTTACTGACGATCGTAATCCTCTGTTCTCTTTCGACCGTCGCCTTATGACAACTGCACTCCTGTTTACACAGCTATTGTTACACTTTGACACCTTATTATTGTAGTAAGCAGGTGAATCAGTTGCCTCAAGCTGATTTATGATTAATATGGGGGGCATGTGTGCAAATCCATTGATGTTTGCCCGATATGTATATATGTAATACATACAGCCTAAATTGCACAGCGAATTGGGATCGTCTGTTCATATTGTGAATGCCAGCATAAATTGCACGCAGTCATTGGATTCCTTATTTTCAGTAGACCTCAAAACGTGACTTGAGTGCTTGAATCGCCTAAATACTTTTAAAAGCTATAGCTATGAAGCTGTTTAATTTAGTAACGTCATAGTGGCCTCTTAATCGTTCAATTTTTAGAGTTACCACGCTTGATATATCTGTAGAACATTTTAGTTAGGTTTTGTGGATTCGTCCTAAATAGAAACAATGGCATGGCTAAATAACCATGAGAAAATGCAACTATCCTACACATGCAAGGATTGCGGATGCATGAACATCTGTCTTTGCGGTCCAAATGAGAATAGGATTATCGCAAGGTCCAGTACGGACGGTAACTATCGCCAGTTCGCTTTAATATTAACTGTCGATTTATAGAATATGTTCATATTTTTATTAACGAGATGATCAACCTGCGTGGCCTACTTTGTTTCTATTTTTATTTTTAAAGATTGAAATTTATCGCTCAACTCCAACATCAAACGTAATAGTATTTTGTTTTTCCACCAGCCCTCCATTCTACATTTTGTTAAAATTGTATTGCCCATGTGGATATAATATATAGAATATCCCTGCCTGGAAATCATTGATAGATAGATAGAGAACTATATTTTGATGATAATATCAAAATTTTCAGCAAAAAAGTGGCTCCTTCACGGGGAGCAAAAATACAGGTAAATTATGGGGTCCAAAAAGCTCAAAAGTAAACGGTCAAAGATCACAAAATACTCAAAGTAAGAAATCGACACGGTTTCCACATCAGTAATGGAGACAGGTCTGCCTTCAGCTTCTCAATTTCCGTTTCTTCACACGTGAGGATCGTACGCAAGGAACACTTATTCGATTGGAACATTTACAGAAGTTCTTTCTGTCGACCAGCGCGTCGTATAATGACAGCTGAAGTTATTTGCTGTGGTTAACCTCGAAGTCTGTCCTTTAAATCGACTGAAGTGCTGAAACTGTGCGCTTAGCAGTCATCTAATTGTCATTATCAGTGCGTTATGCCCTCGAGGGTTGAGCCTGCGGTCGTCTTTCTTTGATAGTTTGATTGACGAATAAGTTACACTCGGCTGAACACCCAGGAGAAAACCAAGCTTGAAACCCGTCCCAACACTGAAGCTTTTTTGTTATAATTAGTTTCAGTCCGTCCCAGTAGTACATTTCCTAGTACCACTGTCGAGTTTCGCAATCCTTACCCTTCACCTGCCCGTTGAAGTATTTTGGCTATTGCCAATTCTTTGGGTTCGCAACGGCCGAAAACTTGATCAGTGCCTGATTCCTCTATGAATGCCGCCTACTTACAATCGGCAGAGTATCTGATAGTTATGAATTAGGCCAATCAAAGCTGTTCTCGATCAAAGTCACATGTTACGTTTTTTGAAATGTTGATTTGGTTATTTGAAACGATATTGCTTTCGCATCTGCCTCGAAAGATAGTCGTGGCGAGAGCTTCACGAACCTCTCGCCTGTACGGGGTCTTCTGTCAGTTTTGCGTTCTATAGGTGCTTGTCCTCAAAAACCTACGATTTTAGCAATGATCACTTTGAATCCCTGTTCAGCAGGCCTATGTTTGAGTGCCAAGTTTCAGTGCTATTCGCATGCATTCTCGTATCATCAGCAGAACAATTCGCCACTCTTGTATAAGTTCTCAGTTATGGTAGACCAGATAGTCAATGTCATATTCTCATCTTAACATTCTTATACCATTCTCAGAAATTGACTTTTCCATTACGAAGGATTTCAACATCGCCCGAGATGTTGCTTAGGGCCTTACCGTACAGAACGTGCATATTCCTGCAGGTTATAACCAAATAACGCGGTCGTTCTTTTGCCGGTTTAGATCGGGCGGATATTGACACTTGTTGATGAATTGTTCACCGATCGCTAACGGAACTCACGATCTTCATCAGCGAATGCCGATACCCCCCGATCTTAACCGGCAGGACAACGGGCTCGTGGCTTAATGGTTAGAGCGTTAGACTTTTGATGAAAAAGGTTTTGAGTTCGAGCCTCGGGTAGTGCGCCATTTGGGGCTGGATATGACTAGCTGGCGACGCCTAATAAGTCGGAAATGACCGTTCCGGTTTAACTTGTCTTTTCCGGCAACAAGGACGGCTTGCTGGACGGTGTCTCTGTACAGTGAAGCCTCGGCTAAGGAGGTTAATCCGTTTCAGCCCCGAGCTCGTCATCTGAAACGCTCATCTGCCTAGACTGCTAGCTGCTGTGCGGCTGCTGTCAAGGCCCGAGTTATGAGACCCAGGGCAGAACGGGACGAGTGGGTCCTGTTAGCGATCGGTTAACGTTCATAAACGAGTGCTCATGTGATGTTGCGCCTAGTTCCACTTCATTCTATCCGTTTTACACCGACAGTTCGATTGACGATGTCTATCGTATGCTCCACAACAGAGCAGGCTGTAGGCTGCGCAAAAGAAACCGAGAATACACCTTACCTTTCGATTGAAGTGCCAAAAGCTAAGGTGAAGTTAGTCGTTAAATAGGGGGCTCATGAAGCAGGAGGGGCCCTATGCAAAAAGGAACCAAACATATAAATTATCTTGCAGTTGAGGTGCTTTTTGATGTGATGTGATGTTCGCATGACCACATGTACTGTACGTGCTGGTAAGGAGTGATATAACGATATGTTATAGTCGGCAACATTTTACTGCAGGTTTTCGTAGGACGCATGTTGCCTAATAAACTCATGCGATGCTTGCATGGGCAGTAAAGACGAATGCGGTGGGCGTATGTCGGGACCCCAGGTACTGTTTTACCAGTCTCTGTCTGATAGATTCACAAGTGACCAACCAGGCCGGTGCGTGATGTG